GGTGCCTTCCCTCTAGTCTTACACTGCTAAATTAGGGACGGCTGGCGCAGATAGCCCACGTATAGCTTTGCGCGAAATTCAAAAACAAACTATCCGCAAAGTTCCTTTTCTGCAGTTAACAAAATTGTACGTTTCAGACTTACTGTTGAGGAGGCATGTTTACATGATTTCTGAGGGGTAACCTAGGAAGTCTTTGAATTTGATTTTGTTGGTTATGTCTTTCTCTTTTGTCAACATGGCCAGGCCTATCCCCCTTTTGGGCACTTATATGATCCTGTGTGAAAACATTCACTCCATTAAAATGAGTCAGTATGGAATCAAAGCATAGCATTAAAAATAAACAATGTACAGTCACTAGTGAAACAACTATGACAAAAACTCTCACTGTTGTTAGTTTCATTAACAAAGTTTTTTCCCCAGATTTTATTCATGTGTTGTAAGCTAAAGATGTTTTTCCACCAATTTACTTCTTGTATAACAGTTAACAATAATATGTTTTTTGTAAATCTATTAATGTAAACTTTTTCTACTTGTTCTTATTACCCCTTCTATAAAAGTGCCATAACTTGAAGTAAAGAAACCTTAGTTGTTGGAAACTTACACTGCTAACTCTAGATCTAGTACTTGCTTGGTCAATCTGATAGATAGTATCTCTATATTCATCAATCTTGGGAGATGGTCCAGAAGGTGTAGGAGCTCTGCTCATCCCTTCAGGACAAGATTCAAACTGAATTGGTTGGTAAGGAACCAAAGGCACAGAACCAGAGTTTAAATACTGCTCTCTGAAACAAGAAAGAACAGGCAAGTGAAGAATACTTTACGATATTCTAATAATTATTTGTTAATTATCAGATACAAATTATGAATCACATTTCTACACAAACTTCTAGAATGCTATCATTCAATTCAAGTATACTGAATATTAAATGGTATACTTATTTTGAATGCAAAGTATTTCATATTTAAAGCAGACTTTTGTGATGGAATACTTTCAATATTTCCCTCATGAATATTTCCAAAGAAGTGAACACGCATGCCGTGATAGGTTATGTGCCTGATCCAGAACATATTAGATTATGTCACTGATCCAGAAACCATACTTATAATCAAAAAGCAAACTGGGCTATAATTTATATTTTTGTTTACAACCCTATTTTGAACATTTTGTAAAACAGTATACAGTACAGGGTGGTCTATGATAAGTTGACGCATTTATATATCTTACGTAGCTCGGTTATTTGGAGGGTCATGTGACCTTGTGATGTTCACAGACAATGTTTCATGGAAAATTGTTTAGGCTGGAATAACACACTCATCATGGGCAGGACTTAGGACCAATTAAACAATATTCTTTACAATGTACAAAAACTATCAGGCTGATTTACTGACACAGTGCTACAATTACACTACAGTTTTATTTCTCTCTCTCTCCCAAATTAAAAGTTTATTTTTTCAATTGGAAGCACCTGTAATCCCACCACTGATGCCAAACTTTTGGGAAGCCTCTTGAAATCAAACAAGGAATTGCCTGTGAGTTTCAGTAACAATTCATTTCCACAACCAACAATACAGCATTACTCTGTTCACTGCGGACAACTGTTCACAGTCCGACATATCCCGAAACTAGCCCTTAAAAATTAACAAGAACACTGCTATCAAAATGTGGAAATATACAGTCCAGTACTGCTAAAATTAAAATGTTTAAATATCTTATACTCCTCCTCGTACAATTACACATACTCTGAAATATTTTAACAAAAATAATGACATTGTTTACACTCACAATCCCAACAGATTGAATATACTAATACTCCTGATCTGAACAGAAGATATTAACTAGTAGATAAGAACAGTTTGACATTGGTTTACGAGTTTCTTACACTATCTGAAGTATATTGTTGTCTTAAACGTAAAAACCCTGTCTATACTTTATCTAAACCTATGGACAATTGTTTTTAATATTGTACCTATATAAAATGTTTGACATGTCACACTCTAAAGCACTGCCATGAACAACAAAATGTTTTGTACAACTACAAAGAAAGGCTATTCCCCTTAAAAACTTATCAAAGTTTACAAGTTTCAGGTAAATAAAACACGTTTCGCTTTGTTTTCATCGCCTATCTTAAAATAAATGAAACACCGGGAGAATTGTTGATCTAGAAACGTGGTAGTGAAATAGTTATATAAAACATTAATTAATTAGATTAAGCAATATTATGTAGATGAAAGTAAATTATTTTATTAGATAAAAAAAAAACAATCTGATATAGAAACTTATAAAGTAGGGGTATTACTCATTGTCTTTTAAAAGTTTAAACAATTCCATTAACTGTTCAGTAGCTGGGCCTACTGGGTGAACACTGTGTTGTAGTTATCATTATTGGCCATTATGTGACATGATCAAACTCTTTTGATGATATTTACTGAATATAAAATAATGAAATTATAGTTTACATTAAACTCACTAATTATCGTTATTAAACTTGCAGAGCTAAATTACGTTTTTACAATACAATTAAACATTTTAGTAGGATCTGGTTGCGAAGTGAAATGATGCTCTTATAAAAGAAAACAACCACAACTTTACCCCTAGAATTAATGGTGGGTTTCACATAGACTTCACTGGATTTTTAACACATTTCTCTAAAGTACTTATTCACCAACTTGTTTTAGAGTGTATACCTTTATTGATTAGACACATAATTTGAATCACACAAAACAAATTTCAACAAAAATATCATCCATATTGTAATTAATCCCACTTATTTGCTTCTACTACAGTTTTACATGCAATTTGTACAGTTGGGAATTAGTTGAAATATTAAGGTATAGGATTGGTTAATCAGAATTGATCAATCATTCACTATAATCAGTTAATGATGTTTCAAATTATTTGCATTAGTTTCGATTTTCAAGCAAAAAGCTCTTTGTAGTTTCATTTCACACAGTATAAATTCCCATAATTGTTTCGGGGCCTTTAATTATCTGGCAAAAGATCAGCTGTTAACCAATAGGCATATGAATATTAATTATGTTTAATTCACAACATAAACTTATATGTTTTTCAACATATAAACTCCCCCCAAAAAAATATTGTAACGAGTTATAACCAGTTATGAAAAATTATAATCCAGCACTTGGTTGTTTAACCCTAATGACCAATTTGTCACACCACTGGTATTTTACACAGAAAATTAGTAACTTAAATTTTTGTGATCAATTCTTTACACCAAATGTTGTAAGAGGCAAAAACATAAAACTGCTCAGTATTATGCGACACATGGACTCTGTAATGTAAAGTAACTTACCTTTTCAACAGTTCTACCTGAGTAATCAGGATGGTATTGGACTTCAGTGCTTCTCTTAATGCAGCACGCAACTTATTTATTTCTTTTTCCAATTTCTCAGTCTTTACTTTGTTTTCTGTAACAGATAAATCATAAAATAAGGTGAGGTAAACTTAAAACTGATTAATAAAATCTACAGTGATCATATTAAAAGTGATTTTTATTTTGTTTAGGATTGATTTTTTCCAAACAGATTAAGGCAAACAAGTATAAGTCAAAGATATTGTTATAATGTGAGCTATTATTCCTTAGGTTCTTTTGGATTATTTGGTGAAAATAATGCCAAGTCCAGTACAGATAACAATAACAAATTAATTTATTTCTTCAATAAGTGTAACGTTTGTTACAGGCTACGTTAACTTCTATAGGCTTAGTGTTAAATACAGTGATTCAATTTTCAACAGAAATTTTAACAGAACTTCTGAATATTAATGTATGACTAACTTACTTACATAACTTCAATAACAGATACGCTAACACTCATTATCTAACTCTAACAGAATCACAGATGCAATAACTCTCACTGTCTGACTTAATAACTCTCACTGCCTAACTAACATTGAACTAAATCAATCAATTTCTCATTGCTTCACTTTACTGAATAGCTGACTCAATAAGTGGAATTTATATTTGTAGAATTATAAACAGACTTTTTTCTATGTTAAAATACTTTTATTGGAAGCTTTTGCCTCTCTTACCTGAGCCTTCATCAGGCAACAATATTATTACTTATTTTCTACTTTGTACAGGAAGTTTATAGATTATGATGTTATGACTAGTTCCCTCTAGCAAACAAACATCTAAATTTAAACATTGAAAATATAGCTTACAACAATATGAACTGAAATTTAGTTTATATGTTTTAATAAGTTTGATGATAAGTTTGAAACAATTCTGTTTGATTCAATGAATACTAAATTTTCCTAATGTCTTGTACTTTCTTTTATTGATAAAAAAATAGTTGCTCCATAACAATATTAATGTAAGCAAAGAAATCAGACTCTTTACAAATTTCATTGGAATCACTCCTCAACTTCGATTATGTAATAAAAAACCTATGAAAATAAAAATAAATCTGGCAACTTAAAGTGGTAACTACAAGAACAGTAAGAATATAACATATTTCTACAGAACATGTGATATTAAACCCAAAAATAAACAAGAGAATTCTAATTTTAATATATACGTGGCGATAGGAGCCAGATAAACGAAAGGGAATGCTAGTAAATCAGAAAAATTAACTTACTGGTATTAAAATAAAGAATTTACTGCCCTTTGCTTTGAAAATATACATATCTATATTTTAATATGGGAGAGGTAAAACAGGACTACACCACATGCAGTATATACAAGTTTAACCCATTATATATATATAGAGAGAGTTTTTTTTGTTCCGTATTACCTTTTTTTGTGATAAAAGTTCCACAACTTATGTTATCATGGACTAAATATTGAGATTGAAATAAAAGTAATATGAATAGTTGTCAAATGACATAAAACAGTTACTTTTGGCAAGGTATAGAAAACTCTTATACCTACCTGAGCAACAAGTATCCTCTCTGTTACCTGACCTCTTGTATCCTGTTCCTGTACCCATGGTAATATCAAACTGTAGTTCTGAAACACAAGTAAATAAATTATAAAATTTTCAGAAATTATTTCTGTTATACTTCTTGGCACATAATCCAACAATACCAGTGTCTGTGTGTATTACAACACTGTCTGGAATATGTTTACAATTTTATTCTGAGGCTATTAAAACTATCTCCTTGAAGCCAAAAAAAAAAATATAACGAATGTTGGTCTTGGATCAAAACTAATGAAACCACATGAAAATTAAAGGCTGTGTGTAAAATGATGATTCAACAAGTTTTTTTTAAGAGAAATAAAGCTGGAATTTTAAAATCCTCTCAAGTGTCTTACGTTACAAGTATTTTTCATAATTTATATATCTTATTAGTTAAATGTCAACAAAAAATGAAGAAGTAATTTAATAATATTTAATTTCAAATTTTACTACTGATATAAATTTTAATTCTTTTTATCTACAAAGTTCCTTTTACCACAATTTTATCTTCATAGCAGGCTGACTGTTTATGGAATAAGTTACTGTCAGTAGTAGTGGAGGCAGGCACCTCGCAAAAGTTTAAGAGACGAATAAATTATTGCCTGGGCTGGTTTAATTTTTTACTTGTTTTTTATTGGGTATGGATGTGCCGGAACATACTTGGTTTCTTGGTGTCTGTATGTTATGTTTAAATTAATGTGATACTGAAAAAAAATTCCTCACCTTGGTTTTTATTTTTAAGTTCTGTTAGTTCTTCGTGTAGTTTCTTAAGCACCGAGACATGTTCTTCTGTGATAAAGACTAGACTTTTTTCTAGTTGATGAACTTTCTGATTCAGATCCATTTCTTTTCCCATATCACTTGTAAAAAACTTAGACAATAAACTAAAATTCAGTTCATCTGTTGAGCAGGACTTTCTGGCAGAACTGCGAGTTGGAGGCAATCTCTGAAGACGATCACAACGAAGGGGTTTTGGATAGCGATCAAAGTCGTTGACTCCGGACCAGGTTTGTACACGACGTGAGGAGAAATATTTTTGGAAAGGTGAAACTACCTCACTAACATTTAGTGCAGATGATGCGTTGGGAAAGCGAACACTTCTGGCAGTCTCAGAACTACTCATAATGAAACACAACACATGGTTTGTTTTCACGTATCGCCTACTGAAGAAGTCACTGGCCTTTTAAAGAATTAAAGACACAATTTCACTGTGACATTCACAAAATTCATAATTTCAGTGAAAAAAGTTCAAAAATGTAAGTACAATTATAAAAATTTAGTTATGTATTGAATCCAGAAATTAATAAACTACCAGAACTATAATATAAATAATGCAATCAGAAAGTTTTCTAAAAGTAAAATACCTCTATTTGCAGTAAACATCTATAGTGAGACATATAAATTGCATGTATTATGAAATAATTATTCTCATGAAATATAAACATGGGTCTGCTGAATACACATGTGAAAATAACTTCTAACACTATACATTTCTTGTTATGTTAGTATATAATGTCAATAGAAGGAAAGACAAAAGTAAAAACAAAGCTTGAAAACTTTAAAAGATTTTTAATTGAGTATGAAGTTTAAAGATATAAGGGACTTTGACAGGATTCCTGTTAGTAATCCATTTGATTCATGCAGGGCCGGAATTAAGGTATGTGGAGGCCCTGAGGCAGACATCCTTATCGAGGCCCTTTTAAATACAAGAAATAAAAAAACTTTATTATATTAAAAAACAAACTTTCAAATATAAGAAATAAATATATAAATCAAATATTGCAATATTCATAAATAATGTTAACAAAATATTTGTGGAGGCCCTGAGGCAACTGCCTCATTTGCCTCATGGTTAATCCGGCACTGGATTTATGGTTCAGTAAAGTTTGAAGGATAACTTGATTATTAAAGGAGCAAAATAGAAACTTTAAAAGTCAAGAAATATGCATGGTATTTTTCAGATTCAATGATTTATTCTTTTAGAAATGATAATTCATGGGATGGCTTGCTTCATGAATTGATATCTTGTTTTAAGTTTTTCTGGGGCAAATATATAGATATATAAGGTTAAGCTTTACTTTGTGATATCGTACCACCTTAATTAATATGTAAACTTTTTAGAAATTTCTCTGAATCACAGGGCGTTAAGCTTCCAGTATATAGAAAGTTAGTCAAAGGCTACAACAAAGTTCTTCTCGTCCTAGTTACACATGGAACTGGGTCACTTTACTAGGGTGTTACACAAACTCTCTAGTATGAAAGATAGCTGGAACTTCACATATATCAAAATAGAAAATAATATTTTTTGTTGGTGAGTCAAATGATATTACAAGGGCAGAACTTGCCCTTGCACTGAACCAAAAGTGATCTACAGTTACATGGGTGAATGCATGCCCTGAGCAGCCTGATCTGGTTCTCTGAGTTACAATAAGTAGAGAGAGGGATATATAGAGAATATATTAAATATTCAGATTTAGGGTACATAGGAATCAGACTAGACTCAGTCTGGTAAGATTGTTATTATTAAGAGATTGAACTAGAGAATAGATTTAGGTTACGGCTCAGAACAAACTGTTACTAGAAAAGACTGAATATATAATATATCGTAAAATACAGAGAAATCTGCATTAGAAGAAAGATGTAGAAACAGATACAACCAAAACAACTGGTGTTTCAACATAACTAAGTTTTCAAAATAATTACTGAAAATTCTTTTTAGATAAACTCAGACTTAAAATGGTTAATCAGTTTGTGTTTCAAAATAATTAGACTCAAAAAACCTGCATTTCTTATTGGTAGTTAATCAATAAACACATTGGTATGATTAGTCATATAGTATCACAAACTGATTACCTGACACAAAGGGTACTATAAATCACACAAAAAATTGAAACTTGCATAAAGAAATTACAATATTACTTAATTTCCCCATCAAAACTTTCATCTTTGTTATATTGTGTAAAAACTTATCTTTATTTTTTTGTATTATTCCAGAAACTTTTCTGAATCTATCTTTAATTAAACAGCAGGTATTTTAATTTTGTTGATTTTTTGAGTTCTGGTTTAGTCATTTATGATGTGTTTGTTTTTTTACCCTATATTGGGACTGACCTACTCTTTTCATTATGAAACTGATTTTCTTTAGTCTCATTTTAAGTTTACTTTTCTGTATTTTTAATAGTTCTTTTTTATGTATTTCATACTCATGAATTTATTTTCTTCTATAGATATTTTTTTTTCTCTAATTTCTATTTTGTAATGATTCTTTTACTTGTTGGATATGTAAAAGGATGCTAATGGATATAAACACATTTTGCTATGGTATTTCAACTACAATTGTATAGGTTTTAAATTACAACTTTATTTAAAAAAGCATTCTCGTAATCAGGAAGAGAACTTTATTAGGTATATATCAATATTATCAAATTCAAAGATTACAACGGAGTTTTTCATGCCCTAAACTAAAATCGTGATGGTAAAACTAAAAGTATATTTAAAATAAAACTGAGAATACTTACTGTTGCTTACTTTTTTACGGTGTCTCCTTCTTAATTGCAACCTCTCTCTCTCTCTGTATATATATACATGTATATATATATATTGCTCTTGTTCTTTAAAACGTTGCCACAAATTCGCCAGCTTATAAATCTAAATTAAAAGGGACTAGGTATATTTTGAATATGGATGATAAGTTAGGTGCCTAACGAGTAACGTTACGAATTTAACTCGTAAAACTGCTGTACTAACACTATAGTAACGATAACAATAACATAAACTGGAATCCAAGTTGTCGCTTCACGATTATCTATATATATACGGTAATTTACGTGATAATGATTCATATATATACATCATATTTGTTTCTAATTGCTTATCAAACCTTAGAGGAAAACGTAAACACTACTGTGCACAAAGCTAATTGTAAACATACAGCTGGTTACCTAGCGACAAATAATATTCGCTAAATGTCTGCCTCTGGTATGTAACAAATACGCACTACGACAACTTTATTACACCATTGGCTGAGAAAAGTAACATTTTTCTCTAAACAAACTAGAGATTTCGTGTCATAAGCGCAAATTGTACAATTAACACCAAACATTTTGTAGCGATCGGGATTAGTAAATATTTTTTTGTGTGTTTTATAATTAATCTATAATTTCTAAGTGGAGTATCGAAACTTGAAAATAAACTGACTGTCGCTTTATAATGGCCTTATAGTCCAGGAAGCTAGATTTGCAAAAGAGCTCTTTTTTTAAGATTCGTTCAACACCTTTTTATTGAAGGATCTGACTTGATTTTCTGTTACAGAAAGTCTTTTTAAATAATTCCACGTATGTTGTAAATCAAAATGTGATATTAGTTGTTTTTGTTTTCTGTGACACTTTCTTTTACGGTACCGAATATTCCCAGCCAAGACATATGTTGACGCGAAATCAAAATTATCACTTATCTTTATATTAACCATAAAATCAAAATTGAACATCTTATAAATATTTTTCATTTTTGAAAATTAGAATCTTATATTCTCAACCAGTCGGGGACTGTGAAGCCTTGAAGGTAAATATTGTGTGCAAAATCTACGTATGGCCTATTGGTAAGGACGTTTGACTCACAACTATGGGCTGCGGGTTCAAAACCCATACCCGAACATACCACTATTTAATTAATTAGAGTAGCCCAAAAGTTGAATTGGGTGGCGTTGATTAAGTGCCTTATCTCAAGTCTATCTCTTCTGAATTAGACACAGTTATCCTAGATAACCCTCGAGTAGTTTTGCGCAAAATTAAAGAAATACAACAAAATATATCTTCACCTTTAGAAGACCTATCTAAATAAAGGCAGATTGTGATTTACAACAATTTTCATCAGTATTAAATTAAATGATGTATAAGTAGGAGTCAAATCAGGTGTTTTATGTTTGTATATATAAACTATTAATTCTACTCCAAAGTTTATAGTTTTCACGTACTCCTCTAATTTGCTACATTGTCAATTTATAGCAGAGGGACATTATTCACAAGTAAAAACAATCAGATATAGATGCAAACAACGCTCTTCCTGACACACTGTCAATTTTAACCAGAAATCTAATGTAATAACAATTTGGATTACATTGAATACTACTTCAAATTAATTCACTACCCAATGTATTGCAAGCTGAATACTGACAAAGTGATCTTTGGATTAGAACGCAAAACAAAACTGTAAGGAGAATTGAACCATCTTAACCACCTAATATGTTTATTTACTAATGGTATTGAAAAGTATCAGAAAAGTGAATCAAGTAAAATACAAACAAACTTTTCATTTTATGAACGACATGTATATTACAAACGCTAGTTTATAATGACATATATTAAAAAAATACTGGGTACTCTTTTGCGTTCTGTAACATCTACATGTAAAACACCGTTTAAAACATTTTCTTTGTGGTCTGTGGTATCTGTAATTCACCCCCCCTTTTAGCACTTTTGGGAGCAGTGTGGTTCAATGACTTTGAGCTTTGAACCCATAACCGGATGGTTGCGAGTTCGAGGCTGGATCCGTGTCATTCTGTTGTTTCCTTGAGTAAGACACTTTATCCAGTTTGTTCCCATCTATCCAGCTGTTAGCTGGGGGGAGGGGTAACCTGCGATGGACTGATTTAACGTCTAGGAGGGGATGGGCCACCATTCTCACCCGCATGTACTCCTGGAACCGAGTTTGAAAGCATAGACCTTAAATGCTTTGGGCACGGATAAGGGTTAAATAACCTAGCACTTTTACCCCGAGACAACTGTTTGGTTTGAATTTCGCGCAAAGCTACACGAGGGCTATCCGTCCCTAATTTAGCAGTGTACGACTAGAGGGAAGGCAGCTAGTCATCACCACCCACCGCCAACTCTTGGGCTACTCTTTTACCAACGAATAGTGGGATTGACTGTCACATTATAAAGCCCCCACGGCTGAAAGGGCGAGCATGTTTGGTGGGACGGGGATTCGAACCCGCGACCCGCAGATTGCGAGTCGAGTGCCCTAACCACCTGGCCATGCCGGGCCGAGACAACTGTTTAGTTATCAAGCTTGTAATTTCCAAAAACATATCTGTCGTAATAGCATGCGTATGTTGAAACTGTCGAAAATAGAACATTTTGAACTATAC